TTGTTTTATTTTCAACTGTCAAGGGATCTTTAACGTGCACAGACTGTAGAACACAGAGCCAGTTAATTGTCCCATCTGAACTACTAGACGCTTTTTCCATGTCAGCCCCCTTGACTTGCATCACTGACAGGGTGGCTGTCAGTTGAAATTGGTGAAGAATATTAATGCAAAATATAGTCAAAGGATGACTTAATTTTCAACAAATAAATGAAAATCATTCAATCTAACTCCTTTCTATTCAATGATATGGTATCAAAATATTAAAAAGCTTTTATAACTTCATATAATAGAGGATAAAGAATTGAAATAATTTGGTTATTGAAGGAAAACTTCACGATTCAGATGATAATATCATGGATAAGTTTAATATAATAAACCACATATCACACACCTGTAATTACGCTCAGGTAAAAAAGATAAATAATATTAAATGAAGATTTCACCTGTGGGAAAGATCTAATATTTAATCAAATTCAATTCAAAATTCAGTTAAATGGATCGAAATGAATTGAACTTTAAAATTTGATTTGAATCAGATGGTTTTAGAATGAATAAAATCTAGAGAAACAAATTATTTTTCTGATTTTCAAATTCAGGATCCATTCTTAAATATTTTCAATTGCTATAGAAATATTTCTTAAGTGATACAAAATTGGAAAGTTTGTGAAGTGGAATATCAGTTTTATTTAATATCAAATTTATTCATCAAAACAGAACCCTTGTTTCCCTTCAGTCACTTTTGTTAACACTAAATCCAGAAAACTAACAGTATTAATTATTAGTTCATTTCAATCCATAAACAAAATATTTCCCCACAATTCAAATTGGGCAATATGCATTTTTCACTGTAAAAATGTAATAACATTGAAAGAATACTTTTTCAGATTGCATAAAATACAGGATTTAAGCCCTGTATTTCCAGCCTCCCGCCCCACCCCTAGAATGACAGTGACCCCTCCCCCTCCCAATCTACTGCCACTGTATTAGGGTGTGGCTCACACTCTGTTTTTCATTCCCGAACAGTTTAATAGTGAGGCGAGTCAGTAAGTGCAATATCTAATCTTATAATGTGCACATATTTGACATGACTAATTGCATATTGCAGGTTTTAATCAATCTGTCATTAAACCTGCTCATAAACTGAACATAACAGTAATTAAGTTTTCCACTTGACTGACTGAATAATAATAATATAATCATAATAGAACTGCTAGGCCAATAACTTGCTTATTCATATGTCTATTTTAATTTCAATTTCATTAGTCAAATTGGGTGGAGATCTTAAAATCATTTTCAAATAATTGGGATTAATCCTTTAGCAACATTTGGAGGTAGAGATCACATTAAATAACAGAACACAGTTTCATGGTATACTACTCCTGAGTTTCATTGTACACAATGTTTCAACAATTTACATTATCATCATCAGTTTATATAGTATACTACTCCTGAGTTTTATTGTACACAATGTTTCAACAATTTACATTATCATCATCAGTTTATATGTTAGACTACTCCTGAGTTTTATTGTGCACTACGTTTCAACATTGTCATTATCAGGTTGTGTACAATTAAATTTAGGTGTAGTATACCCTAAAATTGTTTTCTGTTATTTTACTTTACATTCAAGTCAATTGATTACAAAAGAAGCTTAGCTTCAAACCATACTAATTCTGTTCAAAAAGGATATGCTTATAGGCCTACTTCCGTGGTATCTCAGTATGAAGCCAGTCTTCCCCACCCCCTGTCAAGTCAAGATATTTACCAATTTTCTGTATGGTCTAGAATGTCCTGTTAATTCACTTTCAGCCAAATTCAAAATGAACTTAAAACATGAAGTCAAACTCATCACAAAGAAATGTTTGTGGTCTGGATTTTTCTGGATGTCTCAGAGTTATGCCCCTTTAGTCTCCAGAAGTGAAGTGAGTTGCAGATGTAGCCAATGAAAGATAGCTAGAACTTTAGATGAATCTATTCTGATGACAGAACACAGCAAGCTTGCTTGAATGTAAAATTTTACAAAGGAAAAGAATTTTGCAAAAGAAAATATGAAATTATGATTCTTTTTCATCTAGAGAAGTTTTTGATTTCACAACTGCCACTGGGTGATTCAAGATGGAGAATGAAGGAAGGTAAGAAGTTTGAAGGCCTACTTACTCGCATAATAATATTCCATCTTCAAGAGACTTTCTAGGATCATCTGGGTATGGAAATTTCATTCTGGTTACGGCCTGCAAGTACAAAATAAAAATAAATTCTACACAAGATCATAAGTTCAGAGAATCAAAAAACAAAGAGTTAACTGTGGTCTTAAAAAGGAAACAAATAAGATTTTTCTCCCTTGATATGATATGAGTGGGTTGTTTTGATTTTTAAACCTCAATTTCTGGTTCATCCAAGCCCTTTTTTAAGTTTTTGATATAAATAGCATCATCATTTGGTTTTTTTTTTTTAGATGAAGAAATTACACTCAGGAAATTGTCTGCCCCTGTTACACTGAATACTGTAGGCCTAGGCCCAAATTTCTACAGCCCAAATGTAAGTTTGATTTCATAATTACACGATTTAAAAAGATAGTTTTACAGTAAAGGCATCGATTTGCGTCATTCTAAATTTCAATCAGATGTCTGTGAGTCTTCAAATTCCACTAAATCTAAGCGTTTATGCCATCACTATTTTAAAAGGTTCTCTAGATGCTTAAAATTCATGGTGGAGTTGATATTTAACTATGCTCTAAATATCAAATGTTTAAATTGAATGGGGTGAGGGATTAAATAGAATTATAATTAAACTTCAAGTTACCAGGTGCTGTTTATAAACCATGAATTACACTGACTGGCTTATTAAAGAGATTGTAAAATTGTTTTCTAAAATTTTCATATGTATTGGGGATATTGACATCTCTTTTTCCTTCAATGTTACAAAAACTTAACATTTGATGATCACTAATAGCAAAATCTGCTTAATCACACAAGTACCCTCGTAACTTGTGGCATCATCAAACAGTTATTTTTGGTGGAAATGCTGGAACCACAGTCATCTGACTTGAAATTTGAATGGTGTAAATTGATGCTATCAGTGTCCTCTATATACATAAAAAGTTTAGAAAACCTCTTTACAATCCTTTTAACAATTTGACTATAAAATTATTAATCAAATAACATGCTTGCCACATTCCTCTTAATCTCTGGAGTATTTATCAGTGGCTTACACACTTTCAAAATTTTTAACAATTTACGTGGCCCCACTGGAAAATTTTGTGGCCCCTGCTTGGCCCCCTCAATTAATATTTCCTAGAAATGCCACTGGCACTAATATCAGTGAAATGGGCCAAAAATAAAAAACCACAATGTTTCAATACAGAATGAAAACTATTGGTTGTAAATATTTCAATAAACAAACTTAAGTCAACTACAATTTAAAAAATGTCACCAATTTAAATATGGTGAAAAACCAAACCATCAGAACAAAAGACGTTACTATCGACAATTAGAGTAACGTGCGTGGAGTCAGGTTTTGACACCTTCTCGTCAAATTTTACAATCTGGACAAAAATAACCTCACGAGTACGTAGAAACTGATTATGTCAATATAGAAGATATGACAGAAAGTTTGCCAACTTCAATATGAAATAGGTCTATGTTATTTGCTAATTTATCATTTTTTTGACTCTTGAGTTCATCATATGGAGGTATAGATCTCATGCGATAACAGAACCCAATTTTATGGTTTTCTATTAGTCCAAGTGTTATTGTACACAATGTTTCTACAATTTACATTATCATCATCAGTTTATATGGTATACTACTCCTGAGTTTTATTGTACACAATGTTTCAACAATTTACATTGTCATCATCAGTTTATATGGTATACTACTCCTGAGTTTTATTGTACACAATGTTTCAACAATTTACACTGTCATCATCAGTTTATATGGTATACTACTACTGGGTTTTATTGTACACAATGTTTCTACAATTTACATTGTCATCATCAGTTTATATAGTATACTACTCCTGATGTTTATTGTACACAACGTTTCAACAATTTACATTGTCATCTTCAGGTGAAATGAAACATTGTGTACAATTAAACTCAGGTGTAGTTCACTTGTATGGATCATTATACATCGCAGAGACTATCCAAAAAACCTTTCAGACAAACTTAAAACAGTGATGTCATATTGCTCAGTATAAACATATTGACTATTAGACTTTACCATTACATACATAGTTTTAAGATAAAGTTTGGATCTTCGTGTATGGGTAAAAACGTGGGTATGAGAAAACGGAAAGGCTTGGAGCCAGTGATTTTACTGAAATTATGTTCTTGCCACTTTGAGTCTTACAAGATCATTTACAAACTTGCAGATCACCCGATAGCCCTCTGAATCTGGTCTGAAGATCGAATAGCGTGAAACTCTGAGTAAAAAAAACATGTATTTTAAGGTTCTGTTTTAATATTTCTATATCAATACAGAATTAGAATAAGGTTTTATAAGAGATACTCTCTCACAGAAGCACTGGCCAAGGTCACAAGTAGAGACTATGGATTTCAGCATTATAAAAGAGTTTGACAATCATAGAGGCATTTTTAGCCATAGAATTGTGGATGTTATTTTGATATTTTATGTTCTAATATCATACTTTGTCACCATAAAGTCACACACATTAACCCCATTATAATGTGTGACAGTAAAAGTATTTTAATGTTCATACTATAAAATAAATACACAACTTCAAAAACTTCTATAACATGACACTAATGATTATATATAATGTCAAGTTATCTAGATATTGGTTATAATCTTGAAATGTAGTGCATTCCAGACAGTCATTGTTTGAAAAGGAAATTTTGGACCGGGTTTTCTGATTGATTAAAGAGGTATTCCGCTTTCAAAACGTCGTAAATTATACCTAAAAATATTCAAAAAGTATGCTATTTAAATCTATGTATCTTCTTGATCGAATTGAATTTGTTTTAAACAATATGACTCGTTGTGCAGACTGGATTGTTAGTAAATGGCCAAGATAAGACAAATAGTCATCAGACTGGATTGTTAGTAAATGGCCAAGATAAGACAAATAGTCATCAGACTGGATTGTTAGTATATGGCCAAGATAAGACAAATAGTCATCAGACTGGATTGTTAGTATATGGCCAAGATAAGACAAATAGTCATCAGACTGGATTGTTAGTATATGGCCAAGATAAGACAAATAGTCATCAGACTGGATTGTTAGTATATGGCCAAGATAAGACAAATAGTCATCAGACTGGATTGTTAGTATATGGCCAAGATAAGACAAATAGTCATCAGACTGGATTGTTAGTATATGGCCAAGATAAGACAAATAGTCATCAGACTGGATTGTTAGTATATGGCCAAGATAAGACAAATAGTCATCAGACTGGATTGTTAGTATATGGCCAAGATAAGACAAATAGTCATCAGACTGGATTGTTAGTATATGGCCAAGATAAGACAAATAGTCATCAGACTGGATTGTTAGTAAATGGCCAAGATAAGACAAATAGTCATCAGACTGGATTGTTAGTATATGGCCAAGATAAGACAAATAGTCATCAGACTGGATTGTTAGTATATGGCCAAGATAAGACAAATAGTCATCAGACTGGATTGTTAGTAAATGGCCAAGATAAGACAAATAGTCATATAAGAGTATAAGTATGTAAAAGATAACAGGTTTATTGACAAGGTTAGGGTATTATCTTGTTCCCTGATGACAGGTCAATAGGCTTTTATACTATAACTTGTTTTTAGTCACATAATAATAGAGAAACGCTATTCTGAATGAATTCAAAAACTGTTTTTTTCTGAAACAAGGCATTACACCTGGTGAGACTGCAATACAGACTGCCATTAGGCTATTATTCAAAGTTTCTATATATATTAATTTATAACTTTATAACTGTGATATTTGGTAATATAGTTGATAGAAGTGGTTAGAGTCCACTGTCTTATAAAAAATTTCTATATATATTAATGTATAACTTTATAACTGTGATATTTGGTAATATAGTTGATAGAAGTGGTTAGTGTCTACTGTCTTATTAATAGTTTCTATATATATTAATTTATAACTTTATAACTGTGATATTTGGTAATATAGTTGATACAAATAGAAACAGGGATTGGGGTATACTTTCTACAAGACTTACAACTGGCCATAAGAATTAGCAGGACTCTTTTGTTGGATACACCTCACTGCTTCGCGCGGAACCTCATGTTGGCTTTATTTATGTTGGTTTTGTCGTGTGGGGTAAAAGGTTTTTTAAAACTCAAAGATCAAAAGTAATGTTTTTGAAAATCAATTGATAAAAAACGTATCATTTATTAAACTATTTATCAGGTTTTTTTTTTATCAAAGAGCGAGTAGATCACATGACCTTTATAAGATAAAGTGTTTTAAATACTTGGTTTTTTATTTCTGAAAGGTCAAAGGTTATCATAGATTGAGTTTAATTCAGTATTTAGGTTAAAAGTTGATTCAAATTATTAACTGATTTTATAAGTTGGCTTAATTTTGATGTCTGTAATTTTAAGCCATAATTTTTATACCAAGATATCTTGGGTGGCCTAGAAACAATAACATTTCTTTCCATAAAATAAAGCGAAAACCATAATATTTTGAGTTGACTCAAAGCGGTTTATCAGGTTAAAATTAGACAAAACTTTTGTTCCGTTTTTTATCAACTTTTATTTTTAATATAATCACTTCAGTTAGGGACAATCCTTCTGAACTTGAACACTTATTTTAACCAATTAAATTTCTACCTCCTCCAGCACTAGCATTTTGTGACATGGTTTTTATCAGGCTAGGTCAAAAGGTCAGTTTTAGAAACATTCGAGAGTGCGGTCATCGTTAGACCCTAACTGAAGTGGCTATATTAAAAGTAAAAGCTAATAAAAGATGAATGAAAGTTATGACATTATAACACAAAGTTAAAAGCAGCAAGAACTATCTATTTTAAATTGCTGATAAACTTAGTAAACTTTAGTTAATATTTAGAAGAATATAAGATGAAAATTATCAAGCGTTTTATTAATATAAAAAGTTTTACTGTGACAGTTGAACTTTTACCACTGCACAAAAAACCCTAATTGATTTAATCGAGAATACTTGGCTACATTTTTATACAGAAAAACATGTTTCCTGAACAACCTAATCGCCGTTGAAGCTGGAAAAAAACTATAGAAACCAATTAACTTCTTAAATTGGACGCCATTTATCACTTCTTAATGTTCTAATAGGATTAATTAGAGATTAGGGTGGTTGAAAGATAACAAGTTACTATCTAACAGAAGGCACTGACACAGGGTTAAAGTAATGTTTATGAATGTTAAGGTTAATATGTTAAAATGGAAATTCGTACTGTAGTCCAAAGACATATTAATTAGAGTCATTCTATAATTAGGACACGAGGCAGACTTTCGAAATCATAGGCCATGGCATCAGAATATTTCATACCTTGAGGATATGATCCCACCACACGTAATATTTACTACAATTACAGTATGCTACAGGAACCTGTCCTTCATATTCTAAATCTAGTCTCTTTCAAACAAAATATATTCAGAAGATAAAAAAAACAATAAAATCATCACACAGTAATCGGCATATATGACCTTTAAAAACTGTTGGATGGGTTGACCTCTGGGGTAATTAGGGGGTCATTAAAAAGGGGTGTAACCCATTAGTCATGTCAGTTCCTCAGTGACTTAATCAACAATATATATACTTGTAATCTGGAGGTTGGGTGTACTGTGAAAAATATGGCGAAAACTGTTTTAAAAATTTTTATATAAACTCTAGAAAAGATGCAATAAGGTTCTCAAGGATTCTGCCAGCTGTTGACCACCTGGTCCTTGGTCAAATTTTTGGCATTGATCTTTCCCAGAATATTTATACCTATTTGCAAATTGACATCTTGAGTTAATATCAAAATAACATATTTTACAAGGATAATACAATTAAGTTCTTGAGGATTCTGGCAACTGTCTACAAGCAAATTTCTTGGCATTCTTCCCTCTTTTGTGCCAATTTACAGCTGGGTCAACTTGAGAAATAAGGTGTCCATAAGAGTGAGCATACCAATGCTTGTTTGCAACATCAGACTCTCAAGTTTAGGAAGTGGTCATTTTTTATAATTTTACTACAAAGATAAAAGATGTCTACCAGAAGCTCTCAAATGTCAAAAGTATAGATTTCGGAACACCTAATGGTACTACTCTTTGGAGGAGTCCACCTCTACACAACTTTTACTCCTGATTTTACCATTCTTTGGACAAGGATTTGTAGGGAACATTCCTTAATATTTACTCATGTTCAAAGATAGCTGCAGCAACTGAAAATCTTTCAATTCAATTACATCTGGACAGTTACTGACCAGCGCGTCTGGTAGCCTCAAACCATTATCATAAAAAGTTATAGTTGAAACCATGTGGTATAATGTTAACATTAAAAGTTTTATTTGGTGTTTATATTGACCAGTCAGTAGCTTGATGACATCATCAAAGCTTTTTATTAGGGCCTTAACATGGTCCAGTGTTTACACATGACCAACTCAAGCTCCCTACAGTTTGTTGTGCTAGGGATAGAGATGACTGTTTTGTTTTGAGAGGAAACAAAGCAAGAAATTTTAAAAGGTCAAGTTAAAATTCCTTTTGGGCCTCGGTTTATTGTCCCAACTGAACAACTGGCCACTTTTTCCTTGTCAGCCCCTCCGACCTGCATCACTGAAAAGTCACAAGGGGAAACCTGGTATGAAATTTTAAAAGTTCAAGTTAAATACCTTTGGTTTAAATTGATTGCAGTTTGTCCGTTGCTCTAGATAAAACAATTGCTTGTTGAAATACCAAGGTTGATATTAAAGGAAAATTATCAGCAAACAATTTTCTTTTTTTTATTCCTATTTTTGTTTATCAAAGTTACAATGATGAGACTTGTCAATATTAAACTTATTTTAACAGAAAATTAGACACAAATTTATATTTAGAATCCAATACAACATTTTCATTTATTTCCCTTACTCGTAAAGTTTCAGTCGAGGGTTCCTTCGCACCATAGAGAGCACCAGTTGTTGAGTTCTGAACACAACTCACAACTCTTGAACTCAGATGCATGAGATACTTGTGACCACGATTCTAATTCACAAACATACACAACTGGTGATAAGTACAGTGTGAGAGCCCCTTCACAAACCTCAATCTGATCTAAATGCAAATCTGGATGTTTAATTTGGCGTTTTTTCTGTGGGTGACTCCACTTGCAATCTATGATCTGACGAGATAGTTATGCCTCTCTTGTTCTGAATAACCTAATATTCAACCCATCAAATGCTCTGCTCAATAAAAGGTTTTCTTACATGCAGGATAGGCGTTCGGATGAGACGATAAACCTAGGCCCCTTGTGCTACAGACTGTGCATGTTAAATATCCCTGGACAGTTGGAAATGAAAAAATAGTAGACTAATGCTGCTGTCCTGACAAAATTGTCCCCATTACACACTGCATGGTGTTGCCCGTCTTCATTAGTTAATAAGATGCAGAGCAGTAGGACAATTAAACTCCATTCATTTCATTTCGATGCAGGAACTTTTAGGATATTTATTGTTAAAATATTGAATTGTATTTGTTTCTGAATAATCTAACAAATATTTTCTATTTTTACCTCGTGCGTTTTAACAACAAGGATTAAAAAATGCATATCTATATCACTTTAGGCTGTCAATAAACTATTTTCTGAATCTATAAATGTTAAACTATCTTTGATTTGACAGTAAACTAATAGGGGTATTTGAGTGCAGAATTGTTTTTTAATTCAAATATGATTTTGAGTCTATTTTAATCAAAATTGACATGATCTCTCTCGACAGGCTACTTTCAATTTCAAAAACAGTGACACGCAATCAAAAATTGTCATTTTCTAGGTTTGTAAAGAAAAAATCACTGGTCCAGTGAATCAAGTGGAGAGAAAACTCTGGTCTATAATTAACGCTCAATGGACGTTCCTTTTGTGAATTCAACTAGTTTTTAAAGGGACAGATTCGCCATTTTCAGGGTTGATTTGAGCCTTGAATATATGTAAATAGTCTGCAGAAATACTAGAAATGTACCAAATTCACATAATTTCTCCAAAAACACACTGAATATGGCGAAGACCAGTCAATTCATAACTTTATAACACGGTTAATTCTGGACACACGAGGATTTGAAGGCTCAAATTTGGACAATCAGATGTGAACACTATTACTGATAAACTTAGCAAAATATTCCTGTTTCTGAGACTAAGGTACGATTGTTTAAACGATGGCGAATCTGTCCCTTTAAATACTTGAAAACAGAGTATGAAATAAAATCTGTTCTGTTCCATTTATTTACAATAGATCTCAGGTTTAAATACCTTTATTTTGAATATATTTTGGGTTCTTTTTTTTTTGACAAAATATTTCACAAGTTTTCATAAAGTGAATGACCTTTAGAAGAAATTTATTAGAATTGAATAATAATGTTAAGGGAAATTAAGAGGATGAACAGGTTGTATTTATGCCAAGTCATTTTAATTTCGGACAAGCATTATCAATTTATAATGGTCACTATTGCCCCATGGTATTATAAGTTGGTGTTTCGACTAATGAAAACGCATAACGCCATGCAGTATGCAA